GGCCTCGGGGCACTCCCAGATGGAGTCGATGGCATCAGACAATCTCAAGAAATGTGGCCTGGCCTGCCACATCTGAAAAATAACATTCCCTGAATGGGAACAATCTCTAACCCTGTGGGCTTCTCCACATCTGTAACATTGCACTGACTGTGCTCCACCCTAAGGAGTAGCAGGATGAGGTCCCCTACTAACAGCACCCCTTTGAGACTGAACATACTTGTCATATGGTCCTCTCTACTGATCTCCCCTCCTAGATCCAGATGATCCCTCCTGAACTTTAGCAGCCTTGCCGCTGCTACCACCACCCCCCAATCCCTCAACAGTCTTGGCTTTCTCACCCACGGCAGGAAACTCCTTTATGAACATAGGGACTATGACCCTCTTCAGCTCATGCCTTAGCCCCTCTGCAACTTCTTACATCTCAAAGCTTCAGATACGGCCTGAGAGTAGAAATGTGCCAAATGCTCAAACCTCATAGCATAATCTGGAACAGACATACTCCCCTGCTGCAGTCTCATGAACTCAGCCTCCTTAGCATATCTCCGACACCATACTTGCTCTTCTTGCATCAAATCTATAACAATAGATAAAAAAGAATTATTCCTTTTGTTTCCACATTTATCTCAAATTTTTTGTCCTTAAAATTTATTATAACTCGATTCTTTTTTAGTCTGTTTAACAATAGATAAAAAAGAATTATTCCTTTTGTTTCCACATTTATCTCAAATTTTTTGTCCTTAAAATTTATTATAACTCGATTCTTTTTTAGTCTGTTAAAGGATAAAATAGTAAGAACATTACAAAAACACACAATAAAGTTAAACTATTTTTTTTAAAATAAAGTAAATTAAACTACTGTCAAATTTTAAAAAAATTTGTTTCATCTTCTCTCCAACAAAACAAATTAAGTAACGATAATTTCAACAATTTTTAACTACTTTTCTCTTTGATTTTTATTGAATGTAATTGCATCACACTTTTTAAAGTTTTAAACTTGGATTAATCATGTTTATAATTGTTACTATGCATCACATTACTTTATTTCCTTTTTGGGTTTTTTTTTCTATTTCTGTTTTCTAGCTTACATTCTCTTCTATATCTTTCTCTTTTCCTAAATTTTTTGGTAATGACAGTGGTTTTTAATATAAATTTTGATTCTAATTATTTATCAAGTGTTTCGTTGTACTTTTATTTAACACATTGCTTTCAGTTCTTCATTTTTGTATAACTTGATTTTGGACGCACATTACCTTGATATTTGTTGTTATAATTTCTCAATCCTCATATTTTGAACTGTCATTCCTTTCTCAGAAACTTCCTTTCCTACTAGAGAGGATATTGTCCATAGGTTTTGATGTAATTTCAATTTTAAAATGTATTGCAGACTGGGCCGGTAGGTTTTTTGATTTTTTGCTTTCTTTCTTAAGGATAAAATAGTAAGAACATTACAAAAACACACAATAAAGTTAAACTATTTTTTTTAAAATAAAGTAAATTAAACTACTGTCAAATTTTAAAAAAATTTGTTTCATCTTCTCTCCAACAAAACAAATTAAGTAACGATAATTTCAACAATTTTTAACTACTTTTCTCTTTGATTTTTATTGAATGTAATTGCATCACACTTTTTAAAGTTTTAAACTTGGATTAATCATGTTTATAATTGTTACTATGCATCACATTACTTTATTTCCTTTTTGGGTTTTTTTTTCTATTTCTGTTTTCTAGCTTACATTCTCTTCTATATCTTTCTCTTTTCCTAAATTTTTTGGTAATGACAGTGGTTTTTAATATAAATTTTGATTCTAATTATTTATCAAGTGTTTCGTTTTAGTCTGTTAAAGGATAAAATAGTAAGAACATTACAAAAACACACAATAAAGTTAAACTATTTTTTTTAAAATAAAGTAAATTAAACTACTGTCAAATTTTAAAAAAATTTGTTTCATCTTCTCTCCAACAAAACAAATTAAGTAACGATAATTTCAACAATTTTTAACTACTTTTCTCTTTGATTTTTATTGAATGTAATTGCATCACACTTTTTAAAGTTTTAAACTTGGATTAATCATGTTTATAATTGTTACTATGCATCACATTACTTTATTTCCTTTTTGGGTTTTTTTTTCTATTTCTGTTTTCTAGCTTACATTCTCTTCTATATCTTTCTCTTTTCCTAAATTTTTTGGTAATGACAGTGGTTTTTAATATAAATTTTGATTCTAATTATTTATCAAGTGTTTCGTTGTACTTTTATTTAACACATTGCTTTCAGTTCTTCATTTTTGTATAACTTGATTTTGGACGCACATTACCTTGATATTTGTTGTTATAATTTCTCAATCCTCATATTTTGAACTGTCATTCCTTTCTCAGAAACTTCCTTTCCTACTAGAGAGGATATTGTCCATAGGTTTTGATGTAATTTCAATTTTAAAATGTATTGCAGACTGGGCCGGTAGGTTTTTTGATTTTTTGCTTTCTTTCTTTCTTTAATTTCAATTATTTTAAAAACTGAATTTCAATTGTTTGAATATGGATTTTTTTTATTATGTGTATTGTTCAAAATATTCATCATTAATTAAATTTAGTTTAAATTTATACAGCGATGACGATTAGTCTATCCACATTTTGCAATTTATTGGAATCTTCAATCTTCCCTGCAGTAGTAACAAATGAGAAGGTCAGAATTTATTTCAAAAACGTAATATGGATAAACTTTTCTTAAGAATAAGAAATTAGTGAAATGGTGTTGCTTTTATCTATTGTTATAGATGAAGATTGTTAAAACATTTTTAATTTTTATAATCTATGTTACGAAATGTACTCTCTCACGTATTATAATTGATATTCATATAGAAACAACTTTAAGGGGGTGTATTGGTTTAGGATTTCGTAGGATTTTAAAAGACTTTTTTTGAGTAAAAAAGTCCATTGGTATTCAATCAGGATTTTATGTCACTTAAAAACAATCCAGTGGTATTCAATCTGGATTTTTAGGATTTTTTAAAGAGTCCATTAAAATCCACTGGTATTCATTTGAGATTTTTTACAACTTAAAAACAATCCATTGGTATTCAAAAATTTAAGGATTTTAAAGGATTGTTGTGTGAGAGGGATTTTGAAAGACTTTCTAGTGTTATCTATAAATACCAGATTCATAAAACAATCCCATCCAAACCCATCGGATTTTGAAGGATTGTTTGAAATGATTTTTCAAGTGTTTTAAGTTAAAGTTTTAAACTTGGATTAATCATGTTTATAATTGTTACTATGCATCACATTACTTTATTTCCTTTTTGGGTTTTTTTTTCTATTTCTGTTTTCTAGCTTACATTCTCTTCTATATCTTTCTCTTTAAACAGCCCGTTCCCTATCAGTAGTTTGGAACGGGTCGTTCCAATTTGGGAACGATCCGTTCTGACTACTGAATTTTTTTTTCTACGTTAAAAATATTAGAGTAGAGAGTATCACATTATACCACTATTTGAATTAAAATATCTTAGAATGTGAATTTCATACTAACTTAATTTTATAAAATTAATTTATAAGTTAAAAATTCTCTTCTATTTATATATACTATTTTTAACACAATAATAACCAATATAAAAGTTTCAAGACACAATTTTCATGTTAATAATTGAATATCTTAATTAAACATAAAAATTATAATTAAATACCTGTAAGTAATATAATAATAATTTAATATAAAGTGATACAAATAGACTAATAATAATTATTAAAATAAATTATAATATCATCTTAAAATTTATATTTAATTTTATTTTATTCGTAAATTAAAAGAAATCACCTCTACTTAATTATATATATTATTTTCAGGATTACACTGATCAATGTGACCGACAAAGTGAATCATCAAGCTTGCACTTGCACTATGAAATAAGGTTTGCTAGTAGTAATAGTAATAATAATTGTTTATTGCTTGTTTGCCATATAAATGCAACAAACCTACTTTTTGTACTATTTATACAAGTTAGAAGTTCACACCTTCCTTTTTCTCTTATACCGCGAAAGGCCAGCATATGAAGAAAGAGAAAATATTTTACTTTATGACTTTAACATTAATAACAACCATGAGCCTGCTTCTACGCAATTACCTTATTCTAAGCAAAATGGTGTCGTATCTTAATTCTTATCTTATCTTATTCCCTGACAAAAAATAAATGTTATATAATTTTTGTACTGGTTATATTTGAATGTGAATACAGCACAATTAGAGAGCTAGAGAGAGAAAGAGATTGGGGGCAAAAAGAAAAATAGAAACTAGTTCACATGACAAAATTGGTCTCTCTCTCTCTATTCAACTAAGTAAATTATCATACTCCATTAACAAAAGTAACTAATAGAAAATTTTAGTCATATAATCAACATTTAACTTATATTGTACATGTTAAAATATTAATATTTGTTTAAATTTAACTAAAATATACTCTCATTCAAATTGTTATATAATTAAAAATTATTAATCTTAATAATTAATTTTAATATCATATTTAAGATAGTTTTTAATTAGTTAACAATATACAAATTTGTAAGACCGGCGATATATTAAAACTAAACTTTGTCTATCTTGATTAAAATTTTGTATGACCCACAATATTAAAACTAAACTCTGTCTACCTTATAACAGATATTGTCGTCTTGATAAATTAGTAACAAATGATAGACTAAAAGTTTATAATCATATTTTTTTTAGTATGTGATCAGATGTCGAATATCAAAATTGTGTATACAAAAAATCACAATATTAAAAAACTGTTAGTTCTTTGAATAATTCTTAATATCTCTCAAACTCTCTGTTGAGAGATATACATATTCAAGAATATTAAACAAAAGGAGCAACGAGCAGCATCTTGCATTTCTATATAAATTAAGAGAAAACAAAGAACATCAAGAAAGTTAAACAAGACTTAGCTGGAAGCATAACCCATATATAGAAATGAGTTGATACCCAATTAATGAAGACTATAACTAAAAAATCAAGCAACTTTTGATTGTGCCAACTTCTTTTCAAGATACTTGAGTGATGTTGGATTGATTTGAGTGAAGACATAGTTGCCAGCAAAGAGGTCACCAAAATGACCTTGTCCCTCCATGAACCTTTTCTTCACCTTAGCAAATATAACCCTCACTTTTTTCACCATCCACACCCTTCTCCAACTTGGCACTTTCACTCTCAACCTTCTCCTCAAGGGCACCCCTCTAAGCCTACACCATTTCCTTGGCCTTAGGATACTATTCACCCTTTCTCTTTCATCATCTTCATGTCTTAGAATTTGGTAAGGAAGCTTGCATTTGATGGGGCTAGAAACCATTTCTATGGAAGACATACGGTGAGAGTTAAAGGCTATGAAGACAAAGTTAGAGTATTTGGATGAGGATATGGTTTATCCCTCATGAGAGGATTTTTGGTGAATGAGTTTGAAGTGTTGATAACTACATTTTGGGATGCATTATTATTACACTAGGAGGCTAGTTCAGTGGTAGTTGAAGTAGCATTGTATTTATTGTTTTTAATGTCTAGGCTTTTCTAGGCATTTATTGGTACATTGCGTACTTCTATTAAAACCAAAAATATTTTTCACACTCCTTCACGTGCACGTCTCTTTACAGCTCCGGAAAAAGATAAATAGTAAAAATAAAAAATAATGACTGAATTTAATTAAAGGAGGAATGCTAGAAAATATATTCAACAATCTTTTACTAATATTTTATGAGGTTAATGGTAACCAATTAAATATCAATGACTTTTTTTTATTCATTATAAAATTAATAATTAATTATAAATAATGAATAGAATTGAATCTAGGCATGACAACGGAATGGGGCAGGGACGGCTTTTACGTTCCCGTCCTCGTCCTAACAAATTTAAATTACCATTGCCCTCGATATATGCTGAAGGTAAAATCTGGGTACACATCTCCACCTTCGGTGGGGTTCGGGTTTCCCCGCCCTGCCCCCGCCCCTGCTCTTTTTTTTTAAAATAAAATAAATATGAACAAATTTTTAAAAAAATAAAAGAAAAGTAAAATAATGAAAATTTATACATTATAATTATTTCTAATTTTAGTTTATATATATAAATAATTTTTTAATTATATTATTAAGCGGGGCAGGGGCGGGGGCAGGCGGGTATTAACATCCCTGTCCCCACTCCTAATTTTATCAATCGAGAAAAACCCAAACCCGAACTCGATCCCAACAAAATACGAGTTTTTCCTGTCCAAATCAAGGCAGGTTCAGACAGATACCCTCAGTAGTGGGTTAGATTGTCATGTCTAATTGAATCACACCATAAAAGTACACATAACTTAATTTTTATATTTTATATGTTAGTAATAGTTAAAATTACAAATCCCAATACTAAATTAGAAAATATCATTTAAATAAGATACAAAATTCACTAAATTTATAATTTTTTTAATAAATTTCAGTAAATGATCGTGTTTGGAAATAGAGTGTCATTAATATTTCTCTTAATTATAGTGTACTTATAATGTAATTTTTATGAGTTTAATAATCATGCAAAGTCAATAATAAATCTAATTATGATTTATTATTTATGATATATTTTTATTTAAAATAACTACTTTAAAAATTATATTTAAATAATTTCTAATCGGTTAATAGTCTAAAAATTATTATAACAATGGTATGTGAAAATTGAATATAAAAAGGATATATATATATATATATAGTTAAGATGAATATAAAAGTAGAGATGAAAAAATTGAAATATTGTAAAATTATGAATTGTATTCCTTTTACACGCAATAATTTTTTCCCGAACCCCAATCATGATATTTTTTTCACCTATTTTCTTTTAGGGTTGTCTTTCTTTACCATTTATTTAAAAGAGTGTACCTTAATAAAAATAAATGATAAAAGATTAAGAATCATGAGTAAAAAGAATAATGACCCAAAAAAGCACAAGATAACATGCATTTATGCTTAAATTTCCCTCTCACTCCCTTTTATCGGGTGTTTTGATACCTAAGACTTTTTTTCTTTTTTGGTGATCAATGATGATACGTAAGAAACTGATAGAAAATAAAGAGGAGACTGATAAAATAGATAAGAAATGGATAAAGGTATAAAAAAGGGTATTGTTTTGTTATAAAAGATGGAGAAAGAAGCAAATAAAAAAGTATGGGTTTGAGGCCTTTTATTTTTTTTTTCGTGTTGAAATGAAGCTACCCAACATACATTTTATGGCATTTTTTTCCGGTTCAAAGTTGCAAACGAATTTGCATATTTATTGGCATTTTTCTTTCTAAAATTCCAAAAACAAACAGATGATTATCTTAAAATATAGGATAAATTATATTTTATTTTTATTTTTAAAGTTTTTTATTTTTAATTCTTTAAATATTTATCTTGATCATTTATATTTTAAGTTTGGACTAATTTGATTATTTTAAAATAATAATTATTTTCAATTTTAAAACATGATTTTAAATATTCTTTTACTAATTCAAAGCTTGAAACTTATATCATTAAATTCATATATATGAAAACAGTTGAAAACATTTAAAATTTAAATATAAAAAAATGACATAAACATGATAAAAATCGTATAAGAATATATAAAAAAAAAAAAAAAAACAACCAAAAAAAAATTTAATTTAATATTATTTTATAGTTGATGGTGGGATATAAGTAAATTTTATAGTTTTCATATAAATGAATTTTATATTATAAGTTTCATATTTTAAATTAATAAAAAATTAATTTATAATTATGTCAAAAATTAAAATTAATTATTATTTTAATATGATCAAATTAATTCAAACATAAAAATAAAGAATCAAAATAAATATTTTAATGATTAAAAAATTAAAATAAATCTAAAATATAATATAAAAGACTTTAAAATATAATTTAATCTACTTTAAAAATTTTCACAGGCTAAACGACCACTGTAGCGCATTTTTAAAAACTTATTACCAAAATAAGGCTGTTTTGAAACAATTTACACCTTTGGGGCTCTTTTATTGGGTGTCGTTATGGGCCATAGCGACACCCATGACACGTGAGTTTTTTTTTTAGGCTTGATTGGGCTGGACCAGTGTCGCTATAGGCTTGCCCAGTACGCCAGCGCCACATAATTTTTTTTTTCATTTTTAAATTATTTATTACATTATTTTTTAGCAGGCGTTGTGGCCCAGTACGCCTGAGTGGCGCTGTGGCTCACAGCGCCCCATTTTTTTTTTTTTTTTCGTTTTTCAATTATTTTTTACATTAAATAAAATTAAAACAGAATTAAATTAAATTAAATAAATTAAAAATTTAAATAAACTTATTTTCTAATTAAATAAAATTAAAACAGAATTAAATTAAATAAATTAAAAAATTTAAATAAACTTTTTTTCTAATTAAATAAAATTAAAACAGAATTAAATTAAATAAATTCAAAATTTAAATAAACTTATTTTTTAATTAAATAAAATTAAAACAGAATTAAAATAAATAAATTCAATATTTAAGCAGAAATAAATTAAACGTATTTCAAATATAAATCAATTTTTTTTAATTAACATAAATAACACAGAATTAAATTAAATCAATTTAGAATTTATATAAATTTAATGACACAGAAATAAATTAAATCATTTATAAATTTGTAATTATTTATTTTTTTAATAAACATAAATTACACAGAAATAAATTATATCAATTTATAATTTCAATATAATTATTTACGAAAAAATTTAAATTAACCAGAATTAAATTACAGCTATTTCAAATATAAATAAAATATTTTTTTAATTAACATAAATAACACAGAATTAAATGAAATCATTTTAAAATTTATATAAATTTAATTTTTTAATAATTATAAATTACATACAAAAAGTTTTTAACCGCAGTGCCACGTGTCAGCGTCTCATTGGCCAAGCACGCGGTGAATTTATTACGCGCCAAGTGAGGCGCTATGAGTTGCAACGCCTCAAATTAGCTGTGGACACGTGTCAGCCTCTGTGTGGTCACGCAGGCGGTCAATTAATGAGGCGCTATGAGTTGCAACGCCTCAAATTAGCTGTGGACACGTGTCAGCCTGTGTGTGGTCACGCTCTGGGCCATAGCGCCTCAAATTTATATATATATTTTTTCGTTTTTAATTTTTTTTCACATTATATTACCTCTTTTTAAAAGTTATAATTTTTCAAAAATTTTAATTCTTTTTTATTTTTTATCAGACATTTTTTTATAAATTTTTTTTCATATTTTATATTTATAAAATATAATATATATACTTTACAAAAACACCACGTGAGGCGCTGTGAGCCCAACCGTCTCAGAGGCGCCCTAGGCCATAGCGCCTCAATTTTTAAAATTTTTTTTTCGTTTTTAAATTTATTTCACATTATATTACTTCATTTTTTAACTTTATATTTTTAAAAATTTCTATTGGTTTTTTCTTTTTTATCAGAAATTTTTAAAAAAATTAATTTTCATTTTTTGTATTTATAAAATATTAAATATGGTATAAATATCAGACCACTTGAGGCGCTGTGAGCCCAAACGCCTTGGAGGCGCCCTAGGCCACAGCGCCTCAGTTTTTAAATTTTTTTTTTCGTTTTTTAATTTATTTCACATTATATTAGTTCATTTTTTAACTTTATATTTTTAAAAATTTCTATTGTTTTTTTCTTTTTTATCAGACATTTTTTATAAAATTAATTTTCATTTTTTATATTTATAAAATATTAAATATGGTTTTTTAAATAGACTCCTAGGAGGCGTCATCAGCCATAGCGCCCCATTTTTTAATTTATTTTTTTTGTTTTTAAATTTATTTCAGATTATTTTAAGCCGACTTGAGACGCTTTAGCCTATAGCGCCTCTATAAAAGTCTCCACCAGCTACAGCGACTCGTTTAATATGGCATTCATGGCTTATATTGAAACCCAAATTTGCCACGTCTCATGGGTGTCGCTGTGACCTATAGCGACACCCAGTAAAACAGCCCCAAACGTGTAAAATGTTTCAAAACAGCCCCATTGTGGTAATAAGTTTCTAAAACTACACTACAATGATCGTTTAGCCATTTTCACAACATGTAAAACTCGATTAGAAAAATCACAATCAATCAAAAACTGCTACCGATAAAAATTACACAATCGATTTTGAAAAATCATATCGTATGTGATAATAGAGAAAATCATCATCATTTATTTATTTAATTTTTTTCTCTTATCTTATTTCTGTTTTTATTATTATTTCTAAACTTAATATTCTTGAATCTACTTTATTTCTTATTTATTTTCTTTTTCTTTTTATTTTCTTCTTTTTTATTTTCATTGAATCTATT